TGCTTCCTGGTTTCACCTCTTCTGTATGTGGTAAACTTTTTTTGCAATTCTGGCTTGTGCAAAACCCATGTTCATGACATCATCACATACCAGTTGTAAAATAGCCATTGTTTTAGCTTGTCTTATGCTGAAGTTTAGGACTCCCTTGCTATCTTTTGTTCCAGCTGTGGAGAGTCAATGGGATGCCAAAAGGTGTGAAGAGTCATCATGATTTTGGCATAGCCGTATTTTATAAGAAAGTGAAGGAATTTGATGAGAGTTGTGAAAATGCTGGGGACAGCAATGGAACCACCCTCATGGGCGGCAGCATCCCCTCTATGGTCCCTATGTGAAAGTGCTGTTACTCACTTGTGTCACTAGTATTAAAGTCCATCAGGGATAGAGCATTCAGTGCTTAGACCATACTGTTCAACAGTAGTTTAAAAATGATGATGACACTGACTTCTGATGAGTAAGGGTATAACAGGAGAGGGGTTGTGGGAATCTGATCAAAATTCCAAAGACTGAGAGAAGATACACCAAAAACTAACACAATAGTAATAGAAGCTCCACAATTTGTGGTGGCTTTGCAGAGGTTTGCTGGTAGCGTCTCAACTGAAAAAGAGTATATGTACTTTGGAAAATTAGAGATTTGTGTGGGTACTAAAGAAGAGAAATGCATGAAGCAGCTATAACAAAACTGTGGATGCACAATTTGTAGTACAACCATTCCCAATTAGTCTAAATGGAAGATTGCAGTGTAAAATAACTTTCAAACTTAAAAGAACTTCCAAACTTAGACAAACCATAACACATACTCTGATGTTAATATCATGCTGAACTTTCTGAAGTTCATAAAGTGTATTGTTGGAACTAATTAATGTGTTGCTTTTTTTTTTATATTCCAAAGACCTCAAGTTAGTAGTTTGGAAATTAGGCTGTGCTTCATGTTTAGATACAAATTGGAGATAATTAGAAATGCTGAGGTACCATACAGGTTAAGTGTGCACCATTATTTGAGCTATATAATGCATTTTAGTGGTGGCTGATAAAGTGCAAAGTAAGCTGGACAGAGACGTTCTTTTCCATTCTACATTAAATCTGTAGGATAAATAGAGCTACATTTTTCTACTTCAGTTAAAAGAAAATGAAACCCTTCATAAGATGCTACAAGAAGTAATCTACTACTGCTGACAGCGGCATCTCCTCATGACTAGATGTGTTAGGCTTTTCAGGAATGAGCTGTCATTTTGTACTTTGTACTGGGCTGAAAAAGGCAATTTTTAACAATGCTACACTGTGCTGAATAGGTTTCCAGAAATCTCAGTTTCTAAATTTTTACAGGTTTAAATTGAACTGCCTTTATGATCTGCTGCCTACTTTCTGATCCATTTTCATTTGCTGCCAAAAGGTATTCAGCTCTGCCTGAGGTCTGTGTCAATAAGAGCTTTGATACAATCTTCTGTCAGATGCAGGCTATAGGATGGACATGAACTACAGTAACAATAGCAACAAAGTCATAGAAATTTTAAAATTTCAGAACAATTTTTGTGCTGTCTGCTCCAGACTTGAGTTTTTGAAATTTTGGACACAATCCAAATCCCCCACAAATCAAAACTTTCCGGTATCTCAAGTAAGAAAATTTTTTTAAATGAAAGCAACAAGGAATAACCTGGCGTTTTGGAGAATGTAAAGAAAAGATTTTTCTACCAGCATTACTCCACCTGGCTACTGTTTCTAGCAAATTTTATTTAGTATTACCTTGTCTCCTGTGCTTAGAACTTAGATATTTTTCTGAAAGGGCTATATTGCAAGTCAGTATGAGAAGGGAAAAGGATAACAAATTCTCATTTGTTGCAGTGGTGTTTTTGCAATTTTTGAGAAGGAATGAAAACTGATGCTGACCTGTTCAGAAAACAGCAGCTTGCTGAGGAAAGGGAGACCTCCAGCCCTTGGGATATCATCATACAGAAGAAGACAAGAATTGTTTCCAGTATCAAAATTGTACAGTATTTAGAAGCAAGTCCCCTTGGGACAGATTTTTAATTTATATTGCTGCATGGGAAATTCCCCTCCCTAGGGAAATAGATCATGTGTATACTGTCCTTGAGCAGAATACATTCCTCCCAGGACCTCTTTGGTGTGTGTAATCTTAATTGCTAGTGACAAGTATGAGACAAAGACATGAAAAAATTCTGGTCCTGCTCTGAGTATCTTTTACACTTGTACGGGGTACTCAACAGAAAACCAAAGTGTTATTTGGACCTAGAGTACAAAACTTGTGTGATTTGTATATTCAGATTCAGGTTTCTGAACTGTGCTATCACAGAATGGGTCAGGTTGGAAGGGATCACAGTGGGTCATCTGGTCCAACCTTCCTGCTCAAGCAATGTCATCCCAGAGCACATGGCACAAGATTGTGTCCAGATGGTTCTTGAATATCTCCAGTGAGGGAGACTCCACAATCTCTCTGGGCAATCTACTCCAGTGAGCAGTCGCTTGCACTGTAAGGAAGTTTTTCCTCATGTTCAAGTGGAACTTCCTGTGCATCAGTTTCTGCCCATTGCCTCTTGTTTTATTGGGTGGCACCACCGAGCAGAGCCTGGCTCCATACTCTTGACACCCACTCTTTAGATACTTACACACTTTAATGAGTCTCCTCTCAGTTGCCTCTTCTCAAGGCTGGACAGCCCACTCAGCCTTTCATTGTAAGAGAGATTCTCCAGACCCTTGACCAGTTTAGTAGCCCTCTGCTGGATGTGCGCCAGGAATTCCATGTCTCTCTTGTACTGTGGAGCCCAGAACACAGTACTTCAAATGCACAGTACTTCAAATATGCCTCACCAGGGCCTTGACTTGCTGGCAATGCCCTTTCTAATGCATCCCAGGATTCTGTTGGCCTTCTTGGCCACCAGGGCACACTGCTGGCTCATGGACAGTTTGTTGTCCACTAGGACTCCCAGATCCTTTTCTCCAGCACTACTGCTTTTATCCTCCTACAGTTGTGTACTGGTTGACATCATGCTTGAAGATTGTTAACTTCCTTAACCAGTTTTGTTTAACTGTGAGTGTGATGCAGGAAACAAGGTGTTCTCCTCTTTCTCTGCATAGGGAAAATGAGAACATATGGTCCCAGAATGACCATGAAAAGACAAACAAGTGAGTCAAAACAGTGTTTTCTAATCCTTTACATTATGGCATTCTTTGCACTAGTACATTGTAACTAGGACTGTGCATGCATTGTGGTTGATTAAAGAAAGGATTTGTAATTGTGAAGCAGTTGGGAGATATGTCTTGAGGGGAAATCAGTGAATTGCAGCTAATGCAAACCCTTCCTTCATCAAACCTGATCCATTTTTATTGTGTGAATGCTAACCTTTATGATGGTAGCTGGAGGCCAAGCTATCAGTGGAAATGTGGTCAGTAACTGCTGAGGCAGTGACAAGAAATGACTGGAGGGTCCAAAAATATTGATAGTGAATAGAATGTGGGATCCACGTGGCTATCCATAACTGAGGGAAAGAGGAAAACCCTCTGCTCTGGAAAAATTGGAGTAGAAAAGGCTTATCTTCAGGAGCTTAAACTTAGTGTGGTTTGAGAGGTTGGTGTCTTATGTAAAACAAACAACAAGTGCCAGGTCCATGCCATACAAGTACAAATTCCAGATTTCAGTTCTGCTGTCTTACACCTATCACGATAACTTCTATTAAAGGCAAGAAAAATTTGGAAGAGCATTTACAAGTAGATTTTTTTCCTTGAAATTAAAGATTTCTGTTGTTTGTTTTTTTTTTTTGTAAATGCAAAAATGCTTAAAAACATCATGCTTAGATTTGCATTATTTACAGTTCGGAAGAAAAAAATAATTCCTTATCTGTGATTTTTAAAAAAATCTTTGCATTGAGATATTTGTTGTTGAAAAAAATTAAATAAATAACATTTAAGAGCAGCTGAAGGTCATTGGCTAGTGTGAAAATAGCTTGTGTAAACATTGTAGAAATTTAGTAGTGCTTATGAATTTGCATATATATGTATTTACACATCTAGGTTTATGTATGTCAATAAGTACTGCCATTTTGACTGCAAAAATTAAAATCAAAAGTGCAGGTTCTATTTGTTATAGGTCAGGGAGGAACGATACAGCATTTGACCTCTCCAGTTATGCTGAGAGTAAACCTTGAGTACGGGGAGCCCAAGGGAAATTGGTAGGACCAGAGTCTTGAATTTTGGCCAGTCTATTCAGTGTGTCCAATTCAAAATAACTGTGGGAATTTTGTGTTAGCTATCTGATTCAAAGTTTTCAAGATCACAATCATGCAATTATCTTTGCATAAAGATAACTAGGGAGATGACTGTTTTGTAATCTTATTGTATTAATTGAGAAAATTGTAGGAATATTTAGTGCTATTAGTACTATTGTTTGCAAAGTTTTTAATTGTTGTATCTACACATATTTAAGTCTGCAGATTTAGAAAAAAAATAGTAAATATAATTCAGATTTTTTTATCTCTGTAGCTTATCTCAATCCTTCCACAGTATTTTGTGTCCTCAGTGATGTACACAATTCTCTCAAAATCCAATATCATGAAGTGTGTAGTTAAGTTGGTACAACAGTTTAAGTCCCATCAGGTCCTGAAAAGGTGTTAGATCTTCTTTCTAATTCAAGGACAGAAAGCTGACCTATGCAGTTCATTAGACCTTCTGGAGAAGAGTAGTGAGTGACAGAAAAGTAATAGTTTCCAAATGGTAGCTCTGGGAATATTGAGAGCCACCAACAAGAATACAAACAGCTATGAGTTCAATTCATGCCATTCAATTTCTAGTCATTAATGTGGTTTAGTGTATATGAGTAGGATAAATATTTTAATTATTATGGTGTTTAGGAGAATATTATATATAAAGGCCCAAAATGATATTTTTTTTGAAAATGAATAGAAAAACATTCTAAACTTCTGAGGTTTCACAGAAAACATTGAATATTCATTACCTGAGTGCTTTACTGCTTTTTTATGCTTAACTTACAGATTAATGAAATATAATGGAGCCAAGCATAGAGTCAGATCCCTACAAAAGCAGAAGAAATGTGTCAGAATTCCCTTTTCTTCAGTGCCAAAAGGGTTTTGTGAATGAGTTGGGACTGTGAAGGCAGTCACTGTGCTGCTTGGGGATGCAACTATAACAGTTTCTTTTCCACCTCTCCCAATTCTTTATTACTTATACACACAAACTAAAGATACTTCCCCTATCTAAATAGTAAGAAACACATTCATCGAATCTGTCATCCCTGGTGTATTCAGTCATGTGTTTAATCAGGTTCTTACTTCTATCTTGCTGTTTTTCAGCCCAATTGAAGCAGCAGAAAGCATTCATGATGTACTTAACAATGTGGAATTGATGCCTGCTGGATTAGCATCTCACCATTCTTTTCAGTTTGACAGTTTATTATGTTGCTTTTCTCATCCTCTCCTGCGCATATATTCCTCCCATGTTTCTTTCTCCCGTATGTATACCCTTCTTACCTAAAACCAGATGACAACTGTGTATACTGGATATGTATGGAGTTAGTTTCTATATATATGCTGCATTTTGTTCCCATTAAGTGAGGGCATTAAAGCAAATTACAACATTACTTAATGTGGTGTAAAATTATTGCCATATGAGCAGTCAATTAACAAGATAAAATTCACAATAATGCCTTAAAGGTGAAATGTGAGAGCTTTTAATAAAAAAAAAAGAAGAAAATGTGGGGAAAAAAAAGTCCTTCCTGGTCCTCAAATCATTATCAGAATATGCAGGCAAACAACCATGACAAGTACATTTTATTACAGATAACTTAAAGATCTCTTCCTTCATTAAAGCTTTATGAAGGCTTAATTGGGTCCCCATCCTCAATAAAGCAAATAGAGCTTATACAGGGGTTATGGGTCCAGGACAGCAGAACCAGAGGAATACACCATCACTGCATGCAAAACTTACCTCTTGTCTTTGGGCACTGGAAATGACCTCTTTTTCCTTACCTTGTGCTGAAGACAAAGACATTTCTGACTCCAGAATGAGACTGAGGGCTCTGAATTCAGAGATGCAGGCAACATGGGTGATAAGGTGCCAGTTCTCCCAGGAACCCTGACAGTCTGCCTCTTACCTTCAGTGTTTGTGACAGGGAGGGAAGTGCAGACTCTCACTATCACTCACTGCTGAGTGTCTGTAAGGTGCTAAAGGTTTGGCAATCCACCTAGCAAGCCTGAAGTCACACCACTGGAGTTACCTTCCTTATTGGTGTGTTGGCATTTTTATATGAAATACAACTCATACCATAGTTCCAAAGAAAAGTGCTGCCTAGGAGCTTTAATTAAATGTAATCTGAACAATCTGGCGATTTATGTCTAAACACATACAGGGTACTGAGCTTACATGCGGAATACACTGATATGATTTTAACTGTCTTTTGGATGAGTATAACGTCTGTTTTCTGAAATATCAAGGTGGTTTAATACCTTCTAAAACGTGACCTTAAAATTTACCATCTTATATTCTTAGCTCTCTGTATGAGCACTGTTGCCTTTGAAAGAGGGAGGTGACACATTGCTTGAGGGCATTTATAAAGTTGCTCCAAGGTGCAGGCTCAGGCTCTGCACGTGAAGTGTGGTCATCCCTCACCACAGCTGGACATCTGTGACTCTGCCTGACTTACGGCAGTATTTATGAAAAGTCCACCTAGGAAAAAGACTAGACAGAGGGCTTATTATTTTCATTTTATCTTGACTCCTGTGGTATTTAATATGATCTCAGTAGAAACTGTTCCTGAGTCAGTAGTGTGTTTTTCGAGTTGTTTGTTTTCCTAAGTACTCAAAGTTTTTAATGTTGTGATATCCTAGCCACCAAATGTCCTGCATACAGATCTGGGGGATTTCCATGATTCAATTCCTTTTTTTGAGACCAGTATTTTTTTCCTAAATCACAGCACATTTCTTAGAATATGTTTGAGGGTCTGTAAAGAAAAGGGCTTTGTTCTGTGGTGCTTTGTTCCTGTGTGTGTATTTGTTCCTATGTATGTTCTTCATACCAGTGTGCATGCAAGTTTTTATTCAAAATTCTGTGTTGTTGCTGTTCTAATGAAGGCTTTTGCTGTTCAGTGAAGATTTTTTTCTTTATGAACTATCCTAAAGTCAGCCTGCCTGATTAAGAATGCACTTAACTTAAAAACAGTAACTCCTTTCCATTGTACAGAATAATTTCAACAAATATTTACTGTGTAATTGATGCACAGAAAAATGAATTGGTCAAAACTTTTACTAATGTCTTGTCCATTCAGCATTAATGTTTATTGCAACACAATTTATGGTGGAAGTCATATAGAAAGATAAAGAAGCAGTCTCTTCTTGAGGAAGCTTAAGGCCTAAATGATTCATGTACAAATGATGAGACAGCTTAACAAATTAAAGCAAATCAACAGTAAACTTTAATTTGTATCTTACTGGACTTAAAAATCAGAGGCACTTACTGACAGTGCTTCTGTCCAAGCTTCAGTGATGAGGGAAAGATCAGGTATAGTGGTAGCAAATGTGTGTGTGTTTAAAGGAACTGCTGCCAAGAGTCTCTTACAAAACTGATAGATTTCTGTTGATGTTGATAATAATTTTCAGAATATATATCATATTGCTTTTCCTTTGTGAACGAGGTTGCAAATTAAAAATGTATTACCTAGCTTGACAAGCAAAGTGCTTCCTGATCATAAGACTTGAAGTCAGTAATGTATGGTTACTATAATTCTTCGACCTGTACAGGAAATCAACAGAATCTGCCTGACTACAAGAAAGATTTTCATTGCAAGGCACTAGCTATGCATATTTATTTATTTAATATCTTTTATTTTTTAACATCTCCTCTGCTGTGGCAGCATCAGGTTGTAGAGTTGTGCACTTGTAAATTTGCAGACATTTCTGTCTGTGGTTTGTGGAATGCACAGTTTGATGTAGTATGCTTGTCTTTGCAGATGTCTTTGTCTTAAGGATTTGATTGAATGAATTGTCATATCAGGAAACTCAGTAAGTCGATTTGTTATACTGATATTCCTGTAAAATACATGAGGATCGAGCCAAAAGCTGCTGTCTTCCAAGGGGTGTTTCAACAGTCCTGTCTGATAAATCAGATTGAATTGCATTCATTTAAGTGCTGTAGCTTGAATTTCCTTCCACTCTCACTTTAGCTAAACTTGAAAGGCAGAGTTATGCAAAATCCCATCACAAACCACATGGCTTGAAGTACAAATAAATGGAAAAGAAAGAGACAGAGAAACAGAAGGATTTACTTGACAGTTGTCCATTATGCAGCCTTTGGTCTTGTCTATCTGTGCAGAGTGTACCTGGCTGACGTCTGAAGAAGACTGCTCCACCCACAGTAGGAATAATTAAATGTCACCTGTACAAAATTATGAATGGCAACATCAGTGCCTGTTGAAATATACTTAATTATTGCCAGACACCTGGCAATTTCACTCCTTTTCACTGTAAAACCCACAATATCTGAACTATGAGTAGAAGCAGCAGGTAGCTGAACCATCTTAGCTTATATGAAAAAGATCAAATCATATCTGGTAAAGCTATCATACTTTATATGTTGTTGCAATATCAGTACACACTGTGAGGGACTGGAGTGCAGAACAGTACCAAAAGTTGTATAATTCTTTCATTGCATCTGAATCAGAATCTGATAGATAAAATATATCCTGAGCAGTAGGTCATTCTAAGGCTTACTGACCCTAGAGGAAGCCTGAGTCTTGGCCCAGACGTGGGAAAAGAAACAATTTACAGATCATCTGAGGAGCATGAAACTGCTTTTTTGTCTGCAGCTGACCCTTGTGATCCTTATTTTTCTTAGGCATTAGCATCTGAAATGAAGTATTGCAAAAAGGATGTAGGCCTTGGTAACTCAGAATTAACTTTTTGCATTCCTTAGTGTACAAACTTGCTTCAGAAATGAAGTACAACACATAAGTGCTTCAGCTTATTCAGTTCTGTACATATAAATACTTGAATAAACAAATATATTTCTGGCTTCTGCTATTAATCACTTTATGGCTTTAGATCTAAAATAATTATTTATGATAAGGAGAAATTCTACTCATGATCCATGAAATCTTTGTCGCCTTAGACATTATTTAGGCCAGGGTCACTCTCTGCCTGGGAGAATTCATCCTCGCTTGGGCTTAATCCAAAAGACTTTGGATCATTTGCATGCAGCTTTTCTTTAATTTTTGTTGCTTTTGGGGAAACAATTAAAGCTGATTAGGAATTTCCCAATTTGGCTACTTTGGCATAAGAAGATTGCATTGCTGAAACTATTATTTTTCCAGCAAATAAAAGCTGTAGTTTCTCTTGCAAGTCAGAAGCTGATTTGACTGTACACATGGAAATTATCGGGTGATAAGGTGTTCTCTTGGAATGTGGGAAGTCCTGTCAAGGAACTGTCTAGAATTAATCAGAATGGAAGGTTATACTGTGGTCTTCTCCATCTTAGGCAAGTGCCCTGAACACAGAACTATTTATTGTCCTTACAGAAGGATGAAAAAGGTGTAGATGGAATAATTCTTCCCTTCCTCCACTTTCAAATCTTTTTGAAAAAGCTTTTTCCCGTCTTTAAATAGATGCAATTTTTGGTCGGATTTTAATAGTATAAGACTTTACATTTGACAACATCTTTTCACCATTTTCCCATTTCACCATTACACATAGGTATCATGCCCTACTGAATTTTAGAACTATCATTTGTGTTCTTACCATGCCTTCCCATTGTGATCTTAATCCTGTTTATAACCTTACACCGCTGAAGAAGCTGTACATTTAATGAGTAATGATGCTGGCAGGTTTTAGCTCATCAGACAGGTCTTCCTTCTGTTTTTATTTCTGAATGGCTGTCAGAAGAATGCTGTTTTCTTAAGTAAAAAAGATAAAGTTGAACATGTCTAAGTATGTTGAAAGTATCTTATCTGAATGAGAGAAAAGCAAAGATGTTCTCAGAGGCCACTGATAAAATGTAGAGAGCTAGCTACTGTAAGCAGGCAAAATCCTTTTCCTTTA